TCCGGGAACTAAACTGCATTGTCTCCTCACGGAATTGGCCGTCAGGCGTAATTATCCCGATTTTCCGCCCCCTCCCCCCCCCCTCCTTCTCTCTCTCTCCTTTGCAGGAACGACTCTTTGGGAACCTGGTCCACCCAGGGATGTAAAACTGTGCTTACCGATGCATCCCATACGAAATGCTTATGTGATCGTCTCTCTACCTTCGCCATTTTGGCTCAGCAACCTAGAGAAATAGTAAGTAACAAAGGGGGGAAAAAAATCCAGTTTTAATGCAAAAGGCAATAGCGGGGGGGCTGCGGAGCGGGGGGGTGGGGAGGGCCGGTCGAGCTTTCCTCTCAGGTATATTTCAGACGTTGCATTGAGGAATTGTTTAATATTGCAGGTAGGCAAACGTTAGTCTCCTGGTGTCTACAGTGTCTCAGAGAACTGAATTCCAGATTCTGCGATATAACTAAATCCTAGTGAAATTTGCATGTTCTCGAACTCTGAATTTTTCAGAGAGAGCCTTCTAATTGTGATGCAAATGTGTTGAAAACTTTTGTATTGAACAATTATCAACTTAACAAGCTCTTTAAAGGTTGTGAGCCTTTCCAGGGGAATGTACAGGGCTTTATTATTGCTCTTGGTAGGAAAACCCTGGATACTGTAGTTAAACAGATTGCAGATCTGCATTGGACATTTTCAGCACAGATATTCAATGTTGTCTGTTGATGTGATGTAAGAGAAATAATCAAGTTTTCATGAGAAAGAGGGGACATTAAGTGCATAAGCAGACACTCCCAGCCTTATTGAATGTAAAAATAGCTAAAACCCAAATATTTGTGAAGTTATCCTGCTAAGGCATAATTTCATTTTCCTGGTTTTGGAAGCGTACGATCAGACTCATTTTAACAGCAAAGTAGATCAGTTTGGAACAAAGTGGTTGAAATAAAATGTTACTTTCTGCCTGAGATCTGGCCTAAAAGTACATTCAGTCTTATCTCCTATTTGGGTGACAAAAGATATCTTGATAAAATGTAATTAACAATACATCCCTGAGGCTTTATAAAGCATTTTGGTAAACCAGCCACAGTATCCTTTCAAACTTTTAGACCTAAATTTTTTCCAATTGCATTAGCAAATGCCATGTCTATTTCAGAACATAAGCACTTATACACACGGAGGAAAAACCTTACCTGATATATGACTATCATAGTTTTTTTTACAGCAGGGGAAGCCAGCTTGTTTTCAAGGTCATTTATTTATTTTCATTTTTTATTAATACACAGAGTACAAATGAAATAATTCTAAATTTCCAGCTTGTTTACAGAAGGCTTATGATATGGTTGCCATAGATATCTTGCCATTCCTTCTAGACAATCAGGGGCCCAAGGAAATTAAGTGTGTGAGAATAGTGGATTGAAGTCAAAGTTATTAAAACTCAGAAAGTTTGGTAATTCTGCAACAAGCATGAATCAAATTCTGGGACAAATTACTGGATGATCTTTAATATATTACAGTAAAACCAAACTGTTTTTTTAATGCATAATTCTAAATATTGCTGTTTCTCAAGAGAAATAGATCTTTTAATTCATTTTAAGGATGGGAAGTAGTTTCAACTTGTGCCAATGTCATAGTCTCCTGTTACATCGTAATATTACTACTTCCTTTATTTTTCAAAATATCGTGCAGATATTGTAAGGCATTTTAAAGCTTGAAGGCCTCTAAGGAATGTATCAGTAATTAATCAGATCTCAGAGTTATTCATGGATCAGTTTTGGAATTAAGTTGACTTCTGCTTCATAAGTAATATTACTGAAGCTATCTGTGACAGCGTGGCTGCTCTTATCATTTTACTTTTGTTGCTTTTCTCTTTTGACTTGTTGTTTTAATTGCTGGAGGATGGTTTTTCTTCATGGTTGTCTGTTGTAACCTACAGATCATGGAATCATCTGGTACACCCTCAGTGACCTTAATAGTAGGCAGTGGTCTTTCATGCTTGGCCTTGATCACCCTAGCAGTTGTTTATGCAGCGCTATGGAGGTATGTGATGGATTGACAAAGCTGAATGTGAATTCATAGTTATATTTAGTTGAATTAAAATTTAAAGAGAGCATTAGATGCAACAGTTATTATTTGGAAAAGAAAAAAAAATCAAAATGTAGTGCATGTTTTGACCCCTAAATTTGTTGATGTGATCGATTAGTTTTACTCTCTTGGCCTACAGACGATGGTACAGCCCACTTCTTTCTCCTCTTCAGTGTGAATGGTGTTGCTCTTTCAGTGGGGTATTCATAGTGCTAATCAACATATTACAGATTCTTCTATAAGATAAATTTCATGTGAGGCTTCTGGCCTATATCTTTGACTGCTTTTCCTCCATTTTCATTTAAAAAAACCTTCTATGTTATAAAAGTGACATATCAAAGTGCCACAACAGATATTGCAGATTTAGGGAGGTTTAGTCAACTGGTTTTGGTTATAGGTTCAAAGAAAGACCACAAAATGAAGTCATCTCAAATAGTGTGGTGGTGCATTCCAGTAATAGACTTTCTTTCCATCCTGAGTTTGCTACACTAAAGTATTATATTGACTTAAATGTGCAGTTGATACTTATGGAGAAAATTAATTTGAGAAGTGATGAGAAATAGCATGATGTCTTAGTTTAGAAGAAATGGAAAAGTAAAAGTAAAAGTCATGCAAAGTAATAAATATTTTTTAAAAGTGAACATAGGCTCTGATTGAATTTTTTTCCATAATAAAAGAAAAATAGGTTCTTATGCAAATAAGAATAAACACAAGGAGAAAATAATAATTTCTGGAGTAATGTAAAATCAACCAATAGAATGTTGCTTTTGGAAGCAGCTTGATAATTTTACACCCTTTTCTCTTTCACTCTTTTATGTAGCCACAGAGACTCACAGGATTAGACACATATATATAATAAATATAGACTATCTAGTTACATAAGTTATAATGAAAAGAGTATAAGAATTGTCAGTTCTTGTCTGTCAAAGCTAAGAATGAGCGTATTTCAGGATATAATTCCCATCTGAAGAATTATAGTGTTATTTTTTCAGTCCCTGATATATTTAGCACTTGGATGAAAATACTGTCATGCTCAGTGGAACTAGTCTTCTCCATTATTTAGATTAGATATAAGGGAGAAATTTTTTACTATGAGGGTGGTGAGGCACTGGAACAGGTTGCCCAGACAAGTTGTGGATGCCCCATCCCTGGAAGTGTTCAAGGCCAGGTTGGATGGGGCTTTGAGTAACCTGGTCTATTGGGAGGAGTCCCTGCCTCTGACAGGGGGGTTGGAACTAGATGATCTTTAAGGTCCCTTCCAACCCAAACCATTCTATGATTCTATGATTCTGGTAACTTCCAGGTGGAGAAAAAAAAAGTATGTGATGTGTTATGGACCTAGTGTGGATTCTCCATGCAGCTGAGGAAGATAACTCATATAGATCTCAGTGTTCTATCAGTGAGATATTTTGAAAGTATTATGACAACTGAGTGGCCTGTCATTTGAATCATTAAAATTTGCCTTCAAACACATTTCTCAAGCACACACAGCAACCAACTATAGGGAGAAGATAGGCACTGAAACGTATATGTATGTATGCTTGTTTTTATAAATCTAGGGGTAGGGAGGAATTTGATATTTTGACCCTATGTCTGTATTTATATTTTGGAACACCCACCTTTCCATTGAATGTCAGGGCCTCTTCAGAAGTGACATGAGATACAGGTATTCTAGTCTGAAGAAGCCTGTGTGAGCTTTATTTTACAGTTGATTGGTTTGATCCCCCCAACTGAAAATTCAAATTGAAAAATAAATTCAGTGTCAGTAAAATACTCAGCCTTCCCTTCCCTTCCCTTCCCTTCCCTTCCCTTCCCTTCCCTTCCCTTCCCTTCCCTTCCCTTCCCTTCCCTTCCCTTCCCTTCCCTTCCCTTCCCTTCCCTTCCCTTCCCTTCCCTTCCCTTCCCTTCCCTTCCCTTCCCTTCCCTTCCCTTCCAGTGAAATACTCACCCTTCCCTTCCCTTCCCTTCCCTTCCCTTCCCTTCCCTTCCCTTCCCTTCCCTTCCCTTCCCTTCCCTTCATTAATAGCGGGCTGGCAGAAAAACTAAAACCTTAAGTCAATGCTATGAGCTCCTGCTTGCACTGTATTTACTCAACCACTAAGATCCTTTATAGTCCATGGATACTCAGTGTTGGGAACTGGCCCAGGTGAATTAATAGCTAACAAGTTAGAAAGTAGCAGCATACTGACTGTATAGACAAAGGCACTGGACTTTCTGTATTTGTTTGCAACTCATAGAACTAGTCGTAACAAGACTGTTATATTTTAAAGAAAAATGTGGATTTTGGTATCAAGGTTGTCCTGACTTCTTAACTAAAAGGTGTAATGCTGTATTACTGAATTGATAACTGAGGAGAAAGGACTATAGTTTATTTCATGTCCAAAGCTTGGCATTTCTCATGGGTTCAGTACTCTTTAATATGACCTCCTCAGGGAATCAGCTGTTGGTGTACAGCTCAGGAGAAGAAAGCAATATTAACTAAACTCTAGTGAGCAGTGTACAGTATAGATCATAGAGTATATAAACATATGGCATGGTCTTCAGAGGAACTGAGCACCCTTAACTTTCATTTACTTTTGTAGTCAACATTTACTCTATAAGCAGCTCTGAAAATCAAGTTTAGTAAGGTACTTCACTTGAAACCATAATCATTCTCTTTCTGTCCTGTAGCATATAAAGGGCTGGATACAGAAAAATGAGAACATTTGCATCCTGTAAGGAAATAGGTGATAAGAGTATTTGACTTTTTCATCCTAAGCCTACTTCTAAAATGAATACAATAAGTTTGAAAGAGACAGTGTGTGTTACTCACTGCTATAATTTAATCTTTCTGTACAAACTTCACTATTTTTTAGCATTAGGCCTTATGAAGATGAAGATATTACAGTATTATTGTTTCTTCATGCAAACTATTATGTAAATGTGGTGGAACTTCAAGATTAATGTTATTGTTATCCCAATAACATGTTTCAAATTGCGCTGCCATAGTATCATCAACCAACCTGCATCTTATTTACGCATCATGGACCAGCTCTTCTGTTTATGTAAATCACCATCTTTTTGCTGAAGTTAGTTATCGTGAGTGGTCTATGCCAGCTGTGGATATTCCCAGGAATAAGCAGAGAGCATAAGAAGTTCCTGACATGAATGCACGCAAGCCCGTTATTATCAGTGTGGTGTTAGAACAATGTTGCCAGCAGTTTTTAAAAGAAGCACTCATAGATTATTTTTAAAATATACCAAGATACTGAGAGTAAATTGCAGAATATCTATCAAAATACCATAGCTCCTATGTTTGTAATGTGATAGCTCCCTGATACTCTCCCTGAACACTTGAAAGAGAGTGCTTACCTTGCAGACTATCTCCAATATTTAATGCAAGAATTGCTTCAAAGCTTTGTATGACTTACTAGTTGTTTTCCTTTTAGAAAGGTTGTACCTTCTCTTTGTTTATTTGAACAGGTACATCAGATCTGAGAGGTCAATAATTCTAATCAATTTCTGCCTGTCCATTATCTCATCAAATATCCTTATCCTGGTTGGACAAACTCAGACGCATAACAAGGTATGATGATGGACTGTATTAAATTTGCACTTCAATATTGATATCTTTGTTTTATTTGTGTTTAGCTTAAAATAATTGCATCCATTTAGTCCTATACTCATAGGACTTGGCATTTTTGGTAAAATATTAACAGACAAGAGAAAATATTTACCGTCTTTCGTAGTCTTTTTTTCCCCTCCAAAAATCCCTTTTGGTATTGTTCCCTCTGGATAAGCTGTGTTCTCTGTGGTAGACTTGTATGTTTTATAACGAAATTTCAAAGCAAAAAAGTTCAAAGACTCAACATCAAAAGCACAAATTCTGGTTCATTATAACAGTTGTAATGGGATTGCGCTACAGTGTTTTTGTCTTTTTATTAACACACTGCTACTCGAAAGGCAAGTAGAAATTGCTTAGAAGTTAGAGTACTACTCTTGAAAAGGTGCAGAAACAGACATCATAACAAGCTATAGAACTGTTAAATCTCTGACTGATGTAGCTGTAAGAAAGTAAGAACCCTGCATACCTTACTTAGTGATACATGCGGATTTATTACTAATCTGTTTTCAGACTCTTTCTGAACATAGTTGTCATTTGTCCCTCTCCTGTCAAGCAGGGCTGTACCCGTGTTTTGAGGCATCACCCAGTGCTTAGTGATGCTAGGCAACTTTCAGAAGTGACAAGAAGTGGTTGCTTAAAATTAACTATAGCTACATGATACCTTGGAATAGAAAGTAGGATGTAATTGGTGAAGAGGGTAGTATGTGACAGAATGCTGTTAAGTTTTGGAGTGAGCAAGGATCTTTAAAGTAATTCTTTATCCTGATGTTTTAAACTACTCAATACACTGCTCATCTTAATTTTTCAAATATCTAATGAAATACGTTCATCACCTGCTATAGGATTACTGGTGTTTCTACAACATATCTATAATGAATCTTTTATTCTTTTCAAATGAGCGCTTAGAAATTTAGCAGTCAGAAGTCTCATAAATTCAATGCAAGTCACATAGCTGTACTTTGTAAAACATACCTAAAACAAACATAGTCAATTCCAACACATAATTTAACAAAATAATTAAAATTAAGATATTAATATGCTTTAAAGGTTTGAAAGCATGTAGAGGTACAAATGAACAAAATATGGATTTGCGGAAGAAACCCATGTGCCTCTCACAGATTTTATTCAGTGGAAAAAAAGTCAGAATTGCACAAGCAACCTCAGAGTGCCAGAGTGCAGAAAAAGGATTAAGCCTCTCTAGAATTTCAGCACTGACATGCATAGTCATGTATCCTATTTTATTATGTATTTGATGAGCAAATATGGTTCAGTAGGTGAAGTTCCTGCGTATATTGCCACTATGGAATTGGGGTTTGAGGGCATCAGAACAACTGTGTTTGATAACATGTTCCTTAGGTATGCTGGCAGATTTTCTTTGATGCTTGACTCAGGGAACTCTGGACTAAATCATGCCTTCAATCCAGTTCCTTTCTTTTAATCTTAATCTCTTTGAGCTCCTGCACTTCTCTTTCCTGAACTCCTGAAAGTACAGAGATATTATATTGACTTATTTGTGAGAAGAGCAGATTGAAAAAATGGAGATGTTCAGAGGAAATAATTGACATAAACACCAACACATCACAAAATTTACGTTTTGAATATATGACCTGAAAAATTACTCTAAAATACCACTTTTTCCTACACTGATCTTCTTTTTGAGTCCACATCTTGCTTTTGATACATGTACCACAAGGGAGCTTCTAGCCAGGGAGTACCTCTAATGGATCAAAGGCAGAATACATTTTTTATAGCAAAGAAGATATTCCTTGTTACAGACCAAAAATCTTGTTATCATTATGTCCACTGATATGTGAATATTTTGTCGCTCCAAGAGGCCAGCCTGTGAATGCTCCATCAACAAAATTGCCAGCTAAAACCACTGTTCAGCAAAAGCTTATTCAAATTAAAGCAATCAGATCCAGGTATGACTTCAGTAGGTTTGTAAGTAAGGATGTGTTTTGGCATCAGATGTATTTGAATTCAGGTTTTGAATTTTTTGTTTTCAAAGATCATATATGACCAGACGAAGCCAGTGTTTGATTTTTAGTCCATAGATCTAGATTACAATGCTGACATCTGTAGGAAAAATTATGTTTTCATTACGCTGAGCTGGAAAATTAAATTTATAAATGGGAACTTCAGAAAGAAAATCAGGTCTTTACCTATGGTTTAAGATGAAAACCACTTCAGATTTGTTTCTGTGATTTTATTATTTATTCGAAATCAAACCATTTGGATTTTCAGTGTTTGAAAATCTCAGGAGAAGTCTTGGGAATATTTTATCAAGACAATGTAATATTCAAGTCAGCAGAAATTTTTTCCTAAATAAAGGCTGAGGTGGTGTTTTATGGCAAGAGGATGAGCTCACGTTTTTTAATGTATCAGAGAAAATTACTCTGTTCTGTTCTCATTTTTATGTTTATTGGGGCACGTAGTTGATGTCCATATGATGCTGCTGATATTCACGAAGTTGAAGAATGCCCCTTTTTTCCATGCTTTAGTTTGACTTTGCTTCTGAGTTTATATTGTCCCCAGCTCTGTCTTTGTGTATATTCCATTTGAGAATAGGTGCTTGTAAATGTCGTCAAAGCTGAATTCCAGTTTAAAGTTGAACAATGTGTAAATTAAGCATATCGAAGACATATTTATAACAAACAGCATATTGTCAGTCTGTTTGCAGTGTGTGGTTTTCTCTATCTGCATTAAACACCGAACCAACTACTTTTATTCATTTCAATGCTATTCAGTCACCAGGAATTTTCTGTGGTTCATTTTAGTACACCCATTGACATCTGCAACAAAGAAAAAAATATTGAGTCTCTTGGTCTGGATAAGTGCAGGTTTTCTGTTATTTTCCTACTGTTTTATGTAAATCATAGCTGCTTACTATGTTAGGTTTAGCTCTGCTCTCTGAAGGCTGAGTATATCCTCAATGTTTTTACAAAAGCTTCCTTTAGTGAAGAGTGATTTTGAATATTGCACTCTCTTTGGTTCAGCTAAGTTCTGTCTTTTTTTCAGTAAAAAAAAAATCACGGTATTTCCCACAGGCAGGAATGGACAAGATAGTTACAGAGGACACGTAGAAGTAGTTTATATTCTTTCAATCTACCATAGCTTTTCCATTTCTAATATTCCATGTTTAAAAATGAATTTTTCTCCAGTTTCAGTAAGTCAAGGATACCAACATTAGACCAGAGGTCTAGGTCATGGGGCTTTTCAGCTTGTTTTAGAATAGTTCGTGACAGGGGGCATGGAGAAGAGTATGGTTTCTCTTGGAAGATTTAGACTGGGATAGTAAAAAAGCCTTTTGTCAACAGAAAAGCCTTGCTCTTTTATTCCTTCTTAGCAAAACGTGTTGTGCATTTTATTGAAGGATACAGCTGAGAAATGTTCTGCTTTTTCCAGTATGTTTCCCCAAACATTTTAAAATGCAGAACTTTATTCAAAGCCTTCTTAATGTTTCAGACTGTGTAAGATATTTCTGTTTTGTCAGATCCTGTTTTGAAATACAGGTCACTGAAGGCTGAATTTACAAGAATATTATGAAATTAATTATGTGTCTTGTTTAAATATACTCAAATGTTATACTAGGTATGAGAAGCATATTAATTTACTTTGGTATTTCTTTCTGTCTCTTGTTTTCTTTTCAGTGTTAAATGTTAGCCACATAATCATATTTAAATTTGAGGATATGCAACTGATACACTGGAGAGAGTCCTTTAAGTTGAATTTAGTTGTAACATTGAAATTAAGTCTCCTGAATTAAGGAAGGGTAATGCTTTTCATATATAAGCTAAAACTACTCAAATATCTGTTATTTCACAAATACTATGAGATACCCCTAACATCTACAAAAGCACAATGTATTTACTTTGAAGATACTGATGGTTTTCTTTGAGGAAATATCTATCAGTGATTTGTAGGTTTTCACTGTAAGGTAACTCTTGCTATATTATGTTTCCTAATGTTCTTCTTACCATCAAGAAAAATGGTTGCATTTCTTCTATGTATGGATCTTTAATGCTTAAACTATAAATATTTACTACACTTCTGATCCCATTTAAGGAATAGATTCCCTACCCTGAATAATTTATTGATTAATATTATGTGGATTTTTTCCATAAATTCTCTTTCCTTTTGATACATTCAGAAAATACCCTGGGTTTTTTTCACAGTTCTGTCTAAATAAAAACACATTAGCTGTTTGATGTAAACAATTCTGGTTTATCTGTTTTTCCTGTGAAGAAAACAAAGATTAATACAATTTAAAATAAACCATAGAATTCATTATACATATGGGCAAAAGTTAATTATTTCATATGCTATCTGTTTCAGAGATCATTGCTGGAGTTCGGGGTCACTTGTGAGAAACAGGCATATTTTTAGAAATGTCATAAGACTCTGTATATTTTATTAGACCTAGTCAGGTTTATGTGTGCCTACCAAGGGAAGAACAGGGAAGATGTCAAGGCAAAGGACAAGATTTAGCAACCCTGATATTTTCTGTCATCCCTATTTAATTGCAAAATTCAGTTTATTATGCTTATTATTACACTTTGGAATTTGTCTCTTAGACCATACCTGAAAAGATATGAAAAAGACATATCCTGACCACCTAAAACACATAACATAAGCAATCATTAGTTTTGATAAATGCATTGTAAACAAGCAAAAGCCCCATAAAATTTTGTAGATAGTAAGATTAGAAAGTTCACTAAATAGGCCAGCTGGACAAAAATAACCCCACTTCAGTCTTTTTATTTTTTTTTTAATAGAGGTTCTAGCCTGAAAGAAGCAAATAGAAATGGAAAGGAGTTGAGAAGCCACAGCATCCCATTCCCATAGCACTCTGAAGCAGCTGACTGTGTAACTAGAGCTCCCTCAGGTTTGAGAAACAGTGGGTGGCGGGATCCCCTGAGAACCCTGCAGATGTTCAGGTGGTACTAATGCTGCCTCTAACC